CCAAAGAAGACAACTTCAAGACTTGCAGCATTATTGAGCAACACATTGTTCGGCGTAAAGAGTACGGATAACCTTGTAGCACAATGGGCAATCACTTGAGCACTTTTATGTTACCGGGCATGCGCTGCAAAGAGCCGCGCGCAGAACTTAGTGACAATATATAAATTTTATCTATACGTATCATTCTGCGTCCTGGTATGAATAATTACTTGACTCGGACTCCTCTAGATAAGCTATGATCAAATTGGATGGAGAAATGTGATAAATGGATGATCAAGAAGATATTTGCACAATCAGACTGTCGTACAAAGAAGACCATTTCAATGTTGTACAAAACTTCCTGGCCGGAGCGAAATCGTTAAAGATGGCAAGGAGTCGTGGTTTGCAAGTACATGCAAATCGAACATGTGTAAATCGAGTTAAAAGCTCGCACATGTAACCTTTGAAACATTATCATGGGTTTCTGATGTCACTTCGAAGCGCATAATCATAACTGATCTTCCTCTAAGTTCGCAGGGGTTCCATGTGATAAGAGGTTAATTAAGTAGTATAAATAACATGTGGCTACTTTCAAATTTGATTGTATCAGTGGGGCCTCAAAAACGTTGTACCTTCTCCGCAACAATCAGAATCAAGACTCGTTCAGACGATGTGAGGATAATAGTTTGTCCTAGGTTACCATACTCCATTCAAAAATCAAATCCCGGAGGTATAGGCGATCTAAATTTCCGGTAAGAGATGCAATGAAAATGCATTAGGATGCAGATGTAGAGTGCTCTACAAAATATTGATAATCCGATAGGTTTGCGTACTCCTCTGGTAATGTGCAGCGTACAGCCACCTATCATTAGATAGGTTAGGATCATAATCGATGAATAGTTGCAAGCAAAGTCAAACACGTCCAACCAAATGGTGTACAAGGCGAAACAGAAGAGAGTTAAGCAGAGGAAATTGTAGTACATCTACGTAAGTCAATGGTCTCAACCCCAGTGGATCGTTAAAATGCATCAACAATTTTGTGGTGACCACTCCGCTGCATAAGCAATTCCACACGAGGCATGAAAATGACACATGTATAAAGAGGAAGTAAATGTGATTACTCTAAAACGTAAAAGTATAAAGTTTGCGTCGAAGTCTGGGTAAGAAACTCGTGTACGTAAATCAGAAGATTCATTCAACTACAGACACAAAAAAGTTCGAGTACCGGACATTCTCGGCTTGAGCGATGCTCGTGCTAAGTGTGAGGTTTACTTTTACTTATCATAAACGCACAGCAAAAAATGGGTTTCAGAACATCGTGTGGAACTCGAGCTTTTACATAAGCATATAAGTTTACGTACCGCTAGGCTTAATGTATTATTCGTGTCATCGTCTTTTCACCGAATCACTAGTAATTCATCATGATGAGCGATTATTATGGGTTTGTATCAGTCAGACAAAGGCGTTTAACTTCAGCATGATACATTTCCGGTTCCCATTCATTTCTGCCTCCATCGATGCTTGCGTTTAAACAACCCTTGACATCGGTGAGGACAAAACGACAGCGTAGTTCAAAAAAATGAGGCAAATGATAATTTGGAGCTAAGGAAGTTTATTATGGGATTGTCACCACGACTATTGAGACGTCAGGTACCACAGACATGCGATTCTTGCAAGTTGTAAAGTCAGAATTTGAATAACCCCAGCCTTTCGATACATTTGTGTACCTAACGTTGATGGTTGCATGTCGCATATCAACCGGAATCATAAATGAAAAAAGTGACATATCGATTGAAACGTGCGGTGGAACGCATGAGAATGTTTTTAACGGAAAGAACCATTAGTCTTAGCGTGCAGAAATGGCAGTGCTGCAGCGAGGTTTTTCCGCGACTGTGAATGAACAGACAAAAATTGCGATGTTATCTTTAAACGTCTCAAAGCGAAGGGAAACCAACAAATTAAAAACTAGGTTCCTACCTCACCAGAAATGCACACAGGACAAATAAAGCAGCTTTATTTGTGTGTGTGGCGTGAATTACTCCCTAAGTAGTCATAAATCTCGATATTCAACGATTTTGTATTACTGTATTGATGATAGAGGAGCATTAGTTATGCTTACGCAGAGCAATGATTAAAGGAAGATGCTCGAATCATAGTGCATACCCATGCAAAGCCGATTTGCACCGTGCATGTTGATGCAATTTGATTGATTAGTATACGTGCGTGTATCGGTTTAACATGTAGATTAGTGGTAGCTTGAAGAAACCTCAAACTGGATTACAATACCAATGTTTCCTATCTTAAATACCATCGTTATTATTAATTGTTCGGATAGCCTTATACAGTTGATATTAAGCTATATGGGAGTGGTCTTGACATACCATATTGAGCTACCGGATTTCAATAACGCAATCAATGATCAACATTGATGGGCTCCCTGCCACAACCTTGGAAACAAGGAAAATGCAGAAAACTATGCACTCCTCCCGATGAGCAAAATATAGTGAAACGAAAATTTAGATGGTTGCTCTCTCGACGTTTATAATAGTTGACAGGGTGTCTCCGATAAACAGAGGCTTTGTGTAATTTATTGACGACGTGGATGATATTCTGTGTACAACGTATTACGAGGGAAAGAATGTGATGGAACTAGTTTACATCAATATAGCATATAAACAGCGCCAAGTAAATCGGAAGGAGTATCGCAGGTTTGCATATGTAGATGACAGAGATGATTTATATAAACCAGTAAAATGAGATAAGTGTGTTATTATATGTTTGACTGCGAGAATGATAAGTAATTGGGGATCCCCAAGAAGACAAATGCACATGTTATTGTTGTTGAAGGTGAGGTATATTGAGGAACGTTATCGACCAACAATACCCGTTAAATAAAGTACACATGTTAACAGATGTACTCAAGCTGACGAAGTTTCTACACTTATGTACGTAAGTTTTCCGTATGGTCATGTTCTTGGCCACGTGAACGAGATACTATTTGACACACGCGTTCGTTAAATTGAGTCATTATGAGTAGCCCAGGCGATGACATTTGGAACGGGGTGTTACCGTAATACTCCTTGACAAAATTATTCCATTCATAAGTAGACTCAGCTAAGTATGCGTTTTTCATAGTAGATATACACTGCAACCGAGAAAGCGGGGGGCGGCGCGTCATGTTCCTATCTCTCTGTTGAGTGAGTACAGATCAAGTATCATCCGTAAGGATGCGATATTTATAAAGTGACTCTCAAGAGTCGGGGAGCACTCGTACTTGGGATGATTTAAGATAAATTAGAAAATATAGAAAATAGATTAAAATTAACCGTGAGCGCATGTACGAGAAACACGCGCTTCCTTGCGCTTCCTCGTAAGACCGCTGTGTAAGTGCATGCTGTGGTCAAAGGTCGTGCGATTGCAGTACTTGCTACTCATCGATGGATAAAAATGGAGTGGTGTCAAGAAGGCAAGATTGACATGCATTACGCTATACTCATCCGTCGTACGTAAGAAACGAAGAAGTAATGATTGGTCGTTACCATCCTTTTTCAAAGATACTAGAAGGTCTTTAACTTTCTTCTGATCCTCAATCGAATCCGTGTCGTCGCCCGCGCTTTTTGTTGTTGATGTTGTCGTTGTTGTTGATGTTTGATGTCACTTTTGCTAGCTGCTGTATTTGTGGTCGTTGTCGGTTCACAGACAATCCGTCCATGGCCTTTATGCTCTCTTCTCCTGCTTTTTAGCTCATTCGCAACACAAACGAGCTACTTCATTACACAACAATCACGCCAACACTTTGGTTGATAGACTTCACGACGCATGACCGATACTCATTGGCCTGCTCCAACTAACCGGAATCGGTATGTGAATATTCAAAACTCGACTTCGTTTCGCTGTACAGGATCACTGGTATCCAAGAGCGAACCTTAAGACTTGCTCCTCTATTTTGACGGAAGGGACTAGTATGTCTACACACGAAGTCAGTGTTCGGATGTTGGACTTGTGGTCTACGTGCGCTGCATCTACTTCATCCAGACACAGATATGATACGTGCAAAAGAGGGGTGTACTACTGACAGAAACTCAATGATGTCCACGTCAGCTAAAGGTTTGATAATATCCCATGATGTGGTTTCGGTGGAGGTTTCCATAGCTCTCGGCGATGAGAAGCAACAAGTCGGAACACGTGCACGTTCGAAATGGATTGGCGAGTTTGATCTGTGCAGTATGACGTAGCTCAAGACGGTAAGAAAGTACACTTACCCTTCATTCGTCTATCCAGCTGGTCTACGGACGTCAGTCAGAAGTTGTACAACCGAAGTTCAGCCCACCAGATGCAAGGGCTTGTAAGGCACATGACGATGTGTGCTCTCTTCTGATCGGCGGCACCTCTGCGATCGTGCTATTGTCGACGCCATCCGCTTTTTGCCCGCCTTGCTTGCGAATGAATATTCGCCATGCGTGCGAGAGTACGGGATGTTCATAAGCTGGTTCGCGCATGGTCGTGGCTTACCATATCGAAACGTGGAACGAAGATACAACGTACATATGCTGCAGCCTATCCGCCCCACGTCATATGCTGCATTCACGCTGCTTTTACGGTCAGTGTTGGACGACCGGTCGACGCCTCGTTGTTCATTCATTCACGGCGTCAGAAGCTGGCAGATGGCACGGCAAGGCCAGCCGTTTCCGACATTTGTGGCCCCCTGTGCTTACCATGCACTTTGTAGAACCCATCAGACTTGTTTGTGGAATAGCTGTAACTCGTGCGTATGTCAGCAGTCGGTCCCTCGGAACGCACTCGATGGCTAGAACTCCATCGTTGGCGGTAGCGCTGTCTACTACGGGTCGCTCGCCGTAATGCTCTCTCTCGAAACGAAAGGACGCTGGTAGCGATGGCCGCATTCCACCCACCCGCACGCTCCTCACTCATTCCTCTATTCACGCTCTTCGCAGCAAGCAAAGAGCTGATCGACCGACTACGAACATCCTTTGCTGAGCAACAGAACCCAACTGCCAACTATGGTGAGCACCATTTTGCTCGCTGCGCTTGTGCTGGCCACGACTACTAATGCCGCGGCTTTGGGTGGCTTGATGCCTGCCGTGTCGTTGGGTGGCTCGACGCCTGCCGTGTCGTTGAATGTTTCCTTGCCGGTCGTGTCGTTGAGTGCCTCCGTGGGCGCCGGGGCGGCTCCTATGCCGAATGGAGGATGGCCCACTAGCCAAGGCGATGTCTACTTCGCAGCGCCCTACACGGTCAAGAAGGGCGAGGTCTTCGATGGCGGGATGAAGACGTACCAGCGCTCCAACATCAAGTGCCAGGGCGGCATGGAGAGTAGCTGGCGAAACGCCGTCTTTTTCGTCCAGGAAGGCGGGACACTCAAGAACGCGATCATTGGTATCGATCAAATGGAGGGCGTGCACTGCGAGGGGGGTGGCAATATCGTCAACGTGTGGTGGGATGCCGTATGCGAGGACGCGCTGAGCATCAAAGGCGGTACAAAAAACAGCGTGACGAGAGTGATCGGCGGTGGTGCGCGCTCGGCCGCCGACAAGGTGGTGCAGCACAACGGCTACGGTTCGTTGATCGTTGAGGGGTTCTATGCGGTGAACTACGGGACGTTCTGCCGCACGTGCGGCGATTGTGGCAACAAAGGCGTCACCATCAGCATCAAGAACGTCTTGGCCGTCAACGGTCGCGTGCGACTCGTGACGCAGAACACGGGCGACAAGTTCACGGCTGAGAACATCATGATCAAGGGCAAGAGGGTCGAAGTGTGTTCGGTCGGCACGGGCGCCTCGCGCAGGCTCTGCAAGGACTCGCTCAGCAGCGTCACGTATGTGTGAGGAACGATACTGACCGGGAACGTGTATGTCATGAGCGTCATCATTGACGTTGTAGTGTTGCATTGTACCGAACATAGAGATTGGTTGAAACTCGTTTGGATGCCCATCCGGTTCTGTTTGTCTGCTACGTCACGATCGCGCACGTGACGCCGTTAGATCGCTGTGAAGTGTAGCGACAGTTCTCGCATGTTCTGTGTTGAACGGTCCTCTCCGAGCTGCTGGTTTGGCAGCTTTGGCAGCGACGTGTATCGCAAATACCATTCAGAATCGCTGGTTAGAAAACTAGTGCAAGCTCGAAGAAAAGAAAACAATCAATTGGTGCGCATGACGTTAAGACTTTCGGTGGTTGGCCATTGATGGACGATCAGCAGGTGCAAGAAAGCAGCCAAGATGAAGAACGATAGATAGTCCTACGTTCGCTGTGCGTTCTGTATACAGTACGACATGCAGTGATGTCGTTTGCAATGTTTACCATCCCATATGAGTACAGACGACTCATGCAATTTTTCGTCTTGCGAAACTACGATGTCATCGATAACGTGTCCTTTCCTCGAGCCGCTGAAGCCCTTTCATCTTTGTCCTCACTCCATCTCCACAGCTGCAGCTAGAGTCCGTCCGCTTGTCGGATTCACAAAGTGCTCAGGTACAAAGTCAAAACGAGGGAGTAGCGTACTGAGGGTGCAGTAGTAAGACAAGCAGCGAGGCCCAATGACTAGGCTCATTTTGCCACTACGTGTGCATCGTAAGATGTGCACTTGAGACACAAAAAGATGCCGGAGAAACATTGATCCGTCCGCAACCTCGCCAGACGACATCGTAAGCTACTAATGCGGAATGCTACGCTTCGAACATGCCAGATTCCTATCACTTGCACTCGACATCAACTCATGTGAAGGAAAGGTAAGACTGCAAGTAAGACAGCCGGAATAGAAGATTGGCAGACCTTGAGTAGTGTAATTCGCTAGCATTGGGCCCTATCAACGCCCAAGTGGGCAGGAAATGGATCTATAAGCTCTTGCAAGCCAATATCATGCTTTTTGGTACTTTGACAGTAAGTTCACTCGCGTGCAAAGGCTGGTGATGCTGCAGTGTATGTGATATTGGCACTGTTGTCGAGCCTCAAAGAATGAGGATAAAGACAAAAATTATGTTCAGACCCGTCATAGTAGTCTAGTGCTAGAAAAGCTGGCTGTTGTGTACTCCAGCTCGAATAGCCAGTGACACCCAAGAGTATTTAATGCGATCTATTGTCTCGCCGCTTGACGATATATATAGCGGCGATTAAAGTGAGTCAGTCGCACAAGCACACCCTTCCAATATACGTGATCGTGGTAAGCGTATCCGAACGTTCGCGCTGTCCCGAATACTTTGCCGCTGACAGCTTTGTCAACAACTTTGCTAGCTACAACACCCCCACTCTCGATTACTTTCCACCAAAACATGCTTATAGCTCCGAGCTAGACAACAATCTTTACTACGTAATAGTATCATATCAATTCGAAGAACTTCTGCGAAACAGGCAAGCAATGACTAATAATTTGCAGGTAGATGTCTGGCACCATCAGTTCGATCGCCCGGGCTATATCATGCAGCGTACGCTCACTTTACGAATGTGGAGGCACTAAAGTATGGCGATCAACATCAGAAAAGTGCAAGAGGTGGAATCTGTGAATGCAGGGAGGTGTCGCTACGCACAAGATGGAATGTCGTTGAGGTAAATTTAACACAATTTAGTAGAAGAAAGTGTGTATCCGTCACCAATCTCACCGATCAAGCCCGAGCAGCCAATGCACTTCATATCGGCTACAGATAGGGGTTTCCGGACTTGTAATATTGACCAAACGAGATAACATGAAACATTGGCACCAGCTGTCTTCAAATGAGACATAAAAGACGTCAAATCACGGTCAATCGCTGGATGCGATCAATAACAAGCGAGAAGCCCATTTTGCGGCTAATTCTTGATTTTTCGTTGGAAGCTTAGTCTTAATCCTAGTTAGGCCTAACTATGTCACGTCGCTAACAAACAGCTCTGTAACGCAGGTAAAAGATGAAAAGTGTATCTTTGCTAGCGTAGTTGATATGACAGATAACTAACCTCCTTCGATCTTTCCGTGGCATCCGAAGATCATTCTTGATCCTGTGTGATCGTTTCATGATATCGGAATAGTCCTTCCTGTTCCGTATAACAAAACGTTGCCTGTGACACCGAGACGCACCACACATCATTTACAATATGTCAAATATATACGAACAACTATAGCATTTCCAATGCAAAATTTGATTGATTTAGCTCTTGATAATACAAGGAAGACATAATCGACGCAAAGTGCAGTCAAGCGACTAATGCTGAGCTCTTCCATCAAGAAGCGTTATTTTCAGCGTCTTTGTACACAACTTTACAACTTGACGGTAAAATGCCATCTAGATTTTATAAATTTAGTATTCACGTCCCTGTTGTTTTTTAAGCATGACACCAAAGTAGTAAGCCTATTCGAGGCGTTGAGACAACGCTATATAGTGTGGACAGGAGGAGCAAGAATCAAGAGTGTGCGACAGCTTATAATCGGTCAACGCTACCGAAGCAAAAAACAGCATAATCCCACAATCACGATAGAATCGACTTCTTTTGCAAACTACACAACATCGTACGCCACACATCTCTTGCATTCAATATATCAATCGACCAAGAAACTTACTGATAAAAGGATAGACCATGTTCTGTCTAGTGAGTTTTGAGGCACAAAAGATGCGCAAGTGGTGAGCTCCAAATTTACCTGGACGTCGTTGAGGTGCTGCGTTAAAAGTCCCTGCCACAACCAAGAGGCAAAGATGGGTAAAACAGTAGGACTGGTATAGTGTCTACCATATAAAAGAAGTAGCTACATAATAGCAAAGCTGTTGGCGAACTAAGGTTGAAGAATATCATAAATTCATATTTTGACTTCTCCTACTCACATCGAGTGAACAGGTCAACAGCCGACGACGACGAAGGAGACTAACAACCACCGCATCGTTATCGGCGAAAGGCTGAAGTCGCCTTGGGGGGGGGCAATAACTATTCTCACCGGTAGGTCGTCATGCGAATGACACTGGAGGCTTCAACACATGTGGGTGGTCAAACCTGAGGCGGAGATGACCGAGGCGCTGTGCTGAATGAGGTTTAGACACTAGGTCTGATATCTTAAGGCACTGCGCTACAACACCACAGCAAAATTCGGTCTGTACCGACGGCCACCCAGGCATGGGGCATGTCGCAGGGGTTCCACACTCGCACGACCACACACAGGAAAGTATTGATGACCCCTTGTCTTCCATTTTGAGATGGATGACGGTGCGACAATTGCCAAGCACCTTCAAAAATCCGATGAGCTCATCGTTGGTCTTCAAACTCTGGATGAGCCAATTGATAGGGCACGCTAGCTCGTAATGCCACTATGAAGCCTGCCTGAAGAGTATGAGCCTATCGCATCGAGCGTGGAGAAAGCCATGGTACCACGCTGAATACGATGAATGCGAAGTTGCTTGAAGCGTTTGAGTGTCAGGGCAAGAAGGAAGCTACGGAAAGCGCTCTGTTGGCCACTACGTGCAGGACAAGTCGAAGAACGGAAATCTCGACAAGGCGGTAGGAACAACGGCCGCAAGGACAACGACGCGAATCGGAATGGATATAAGGGCAATCTCATCAGCTGCGACAAGTTTGGTAACATAAAGTGAGACTCTTCGGGCACCAAGGCATCGTCAACGGTGATGAGGACGGTGTCTTTGCCGCCGATAATATTCGGTCATCAAATTTCTGATCGGCACAAATGCAAAGGCACGCATGCTACCACACCAAGACGAATATTAAATCACAGGATTATGTCTACGAGCATTGAGGTGAACATTGGGACGCCAAGATGATTTGTGCAGCGAAGACTGGATCAGTATTCTTACAGGATATTGATGGTTAAGCGCATTCAAACGGTGTACATCCTCCACAACCCTAAACTGGATCGACGACAGTTGTCGGCGGACAAGCTTGCCGAGCGCGGCCTCAACGGTGACTATGAACATATATAGTGTGTCGCTTGAAACAAGAGAAAAAAACTATGGCCTCGCGGTGGAAGCTTGATACGACTTAAATAATGGATTATTGCCAGACAACAGTGCAATACGTTGCGTACTCGGACGTGGAAAGAAAATGGGAGCTTTGGCACGCTCGCTTTGGAACTCGGTGAGACTGGAATGAAAATAAACAGCGCTTCGAGCGGTAGGCCTGCGGTGGAGCAAAGTCGTGAGAAGTTATGCGTTGAATGCTGGAAGAGACAGACTACAACAATTAGATAATCGTTATAGTCGCATGCGAAGGTATCGCGTGTGATAATGCTAGCGCACACATACGATGGAACCAAGAAGACGGTCTCATAGGTGGTGATAAAGTCGTACTGGCATTCGTGGACGACTTTCCAAAAAATTACAATGGTGTTTTTTTGGAGCACAAGAGCAAGATGGCTGCCAAAGTTTGTGAGTTTAATTCCTTATACGAGAATCAAGGTGTAAGCGCCCAAGTTATATACAGTCAGGCAACGGAACAGAGTTTACGACAAGAAGGTTGCCGAAAGTGTTCCGGGAGAGGTATCATGAATCAACGGATAGTGCCGTACAGCTTGCAACATTACGAGGTCGCTGAACGGATATCGTTATTAAATCATAAAGTAGCGAAGCATGCTGCATTTCAAGGGCGTGTCTACTGACTGGTGGTTGGAGGCAGTGAGTACTGCGGTGTATATAATCAGTAGGTCTACGAACTATGCAAACTAGGGAGACACACAGTTTAAGTTATAGATTCAAATAACGCCTAGGATTGAACATTTGCGTGCGTTTGAATCACAAGGGAATGCTCTATTGATGACGCCGAGATGACGAAACTTAGGTCGAAGGTTTTCCTGTGGATGTATCTATGGTACGCAGAAAGCGCTACGTGAAATATAATTTTTGATCGATAGAAATTAAAAGGT